ATTGTTATTATACAAAATGGCAAGTAATATGGTGACAGGCAGTGATCATGACACTCTTTCAAAAGAATCTGGCACAATTCGTACATTATTAAAACATTGTTTGAATATGTTAGATCCAAATAAATTTCCGGAATATTATTGTGCAGCGGCATACATGATGAGTGATCTTTACATTGATGATAACGTTAGTGAACAATCTTGGACTTGTGATGGTTCAGAAGTCGTGGATTCTGAATCATTAAATGACGACGTAAGTATCGTATAGAAATATAGTTTATGATCGTGAGAAGATTTTTTGAATAGACGACAGCAATTGTCGAATATTTTTTAGTTATTATTTGAGAATGAACAAGAATTTCGTACGTGTACAACTGTTGATATTAAAACATTAATTCAACCACAACAACATCGTTTCAAAAATATTCCCGATATGGCACGTTTAGGCAATATTCATGGAACATTGAATGCACGAGCGTTACAAGCCTTAAAATATTTAGTAGAGGTAATACTGAGATATAATTATCATAGAAATAAGTCTATTGTTTTGTTTTATTTTATAATTGAAGGCATTACGTGGAAATGCCATACATCGTCGTTCACAAGCAAACAATGACGTAAACTCGCAAAGTCAACATCAACACAAATCCAAATTAATTGTACCATTACAATATAAACTTACACGAACATCGTCAGAAATACTAAATGATAATAAAAATCATTTAACAGATGATACACGTTTAAAATCACTCATCTTACATAAAGCAGCAGCAGCATATTTTTGTTTGGCGGATGAAAATGAAAAACTTAAACATTACGGATTGTGCTTACGTTATCTTCAATTAGCATTAAAATGTTACAGTAAGTATATTATTATCTTTGAAGAAAAACTAAAATATTGAAAATATTTAATATTAGTCTGTTTATTTTATGTGCCAAAATAAAACTTCAGTTATCCGATATGGAAGCTAAAAAGTTACTATCATATATTATGAGTATTGCTGGTGATTGCCGTCGAATGATAGCTTATACAACATCATCAGAAGAAATTGATAAATATCGTGAACAGTATAGTTTGAATAATGAAATTGATCAAGAATTTGAAAAAGTAACCAGTGAAATAACTGGAGAACAAACAGGTAAAGTATTCCTGTTCTTTTGTCATTTTTTAATGAAATTGAATTGTTTCTATTTTATTTGTAGAATTTATTTGGGTATCTGAATTAACACCGATGATAGATCAAAATTTGTTTGCAGCTGTTGATGCGTATGAATATGCGATTAATATAGTTAAAAATCTTGGTGATAATGAGAGAAAACGATTAAATTTATTAACAAAACGATTTGGAAATGTTAGAAATGAAATGGGCTGTTTTTATATAAGTAAATGTGAACAAGCCGTGAAAAATATCGGTAAGTAGAGGAACAAATGACTAGACTACACATCTTTGTCGACAAAAATGATTTTATTATTTAGATCAAGAATCAAGTAAAGAAGTAAAAGAGCTCTTTCGAAAAAGTTTTGAAAGTTTTAATAGTGGTATAAAAGCATTTGAATCGATTAAGGATATTTCGAATATTGCATTGCTGTACAATAATCTTGGACGTTTAATGAGATTGTATGCACAATTTTATGCACCAATTGTCAACGAAGTTCGGGGAGAATTTTCACCACAAGAAAGACAATATTATAATAAAGTAAAACATCAAAACTATTTTTTTGTATTAATAAAATTAGAGTCATGTACTATTTAAGGCATTCGATTATTATCTGAAAGGATTAAAATTAGTGGAAAATCGTGGAGATTTATATAAAACATTATCTTGGGAATTAAGTGGAGCTTATTATACGTATGCGACCATATTACAAGATTATGCACCATTAAGTAAACATCCTCAAGAGGATGTAAGTATTTGTTATGATAACTTGATTGTCTCAAATATATTGTTTATTGATAGATTGAAAAAGAAGTGATTGATTATATGACAAAGTCATTAAAATATTTGGAAATTGAAACAACATCATCATCTGGTCGAAATTCATTAGCTATATATCGTGCAGCAACAATTCATCATCGTCTAGCATCACTCTTTCATAATTCTTTACGAAATCCAGTAAATATTTAATATTTTTTTCGTTAAATACTAACTGAGACATTTTTATTTTTCATTTTAGGACAGTAAAACAAAACGAAAACATTTACGTTCATTAGCTTCATTTCATTATCAAAAGGCATTGAAATTATTTTCTGTACAGGAAAATCCACTTGAATATTTACGTGTGCAACTGGAAGAAGTGGCTCTTGCGGATTATGAATTACAAAGTAAGTATATCATCTACTGATTCGATAAGGAAAATATGAAAATATCATTCATTTATAGATGCTACTGAGAATTCATCTCGTTTAAAATATGCGCAGCAAGGTTTAAAAGAAGGATTTCAATGTCAAAAGTGTATTGAAATAATTGAACAACGTCATTTAAGTACAGATTCTGATGATTATACGGAAACATTCTCACAAGAAGCACATCGTTTATTAGCTATATTAAATGGTCGAATTCAAAGTTTTTTGAAAGAAATTGCTAAAATTACAAAAACAACAAAGAAAAAGTATGCTATTCTTGTTTTCTGAATGAGAATACATGATGTTAGTAATTTTTATTATTATTTTAGATTAAACGAAAATGAGAATAGCATCATTTTTGAAGATTATAAAGAAATGTACAGTATAGCATTAAGATTAAATGAACAATTGGACACATTCCCACATGATCTAATACAAGCATTTATACGAATGAAAAAAATCTATGATAAACATAGCATAACAGTTCACGATTAATCTCTCGTTTTTTCTACTTTCTTTACACTGTATTTTATTTACAGAACATTTTTCATGTGACTCGTTGTACAGTTTATTAGATCCCATGTATTTTTGTTGCCTTTCTACTTCATGTTTCATGTTGAGCCTTTTTATTTGTTTGTTTTTTTAAACTTACATTTAGTCAATTAAGCACAATGGCCTCGTTGAGGTCGTATTTGTGCGTATCATCTTCGAATGATGCAAAATGCATGAGATTTCTAACGATATGGTGACTTTTTTTCTAATTAAAAAGATTTCTAGAGACGATACACTTTTGAACTATTACCAGAGCTCCGTATGGTCCGGTCTGGTCCCAATTTTTGGGGCCCGGACCATAAATTTTTCGGATCACTACGGACCATGAAAATTTTTTCCTCCTTTTTGAAGATATACTTCTACTGTGTAACGAAAACTGTTTAATTTCAATTTTTATCAAACCTGAAAACAAACTGTTTCTTAATTAAATGTTCAACAAAGCTTATCTAGTCGATAAACAAAAAAATAAAGAGATCTCTAAAAAAACTTTCCAACCAGGACCAGTTCGGAATAGTTTTGGGACCGGAACCAATTAGAATCATTAAACTTTTTAAAAACTGGGACCAAGTCGGATCAAATGAATTACAATCCGATCCGACTTGATCCTGGATCGGACCATACGGAGCCCTGACTACTACTCACTCATAATTCTCATAGTGCGCGTATAATTTTTATTATACCTATTTTGTGTTTGTTGATATAGATGATTAGACGATGGAATCGTTCTTAATAAACATGAGAAATGCACCGTCATCCTCATCATTCTGGTTTAATAGATCAGATGAATAAATTTCAACAACAACAACCATCAAATAAAACAGCAAGAGCATCTTCAGACGCGGTTTCTAGTCGAAGAAAAACACAGTTTCGTTTAATTCCAACGTGAGAATTTCAGTCTTATCTAAAAACATTTTCCAAGTATTCATTCTCGCTTTTATCGTAGACTAAAAGCATTTATACACACTCGTTATGGATTAATCACTATTGTCGGGTTATTAGTGGTTTTGTATAATGAAATATTTACTTATGAATACGCCCGATTTTATTGGCCAAATATTGAACATTTAAAAAAGTAAGCAAATCCACTGCTATTTAATAACTGTGTAAACATACTATATATTTTAGTTCTAATGTTGAAAAACTTTTGTTAGTTGCTGATCCTCAATTGATTGGGGAAAAACATGAGGGTTTATTTGGACTTATTACACGTCGAGATGCCGACAGGTAAGAAAGCTATATTTAAGAGCAATTTTAAGTCTAATTTTGTTTCTTTTTTCACATATTAGCATAGTCACCTGTATTTTCATAAATTTTTATTTTCTAGAACAAATTACTAGTAATTTGTATGACTATTTTAGATATTTATCAAAAACATTTACACAAGCTAGAACATATTTGATGCCGGATTGGATCATATTTTTGGGTGATATTTTCGATGAAGGTCTATCAGCAACAGATAACGAATATAAACGATATTATAGCAGGTTTCAAAATATATTTCAATACAATGATATACAACAGGTGAATATATCAGTAATATAGATTCTCAAAAGTCTGAAGAGATACAACAAAAAGCTCTTTCTCAGTCAATAATTATTTATAAGAATACAAAATTTCTTTTCATATCTTATATCAGAATTTTCAATCATTTAACTAACTAAATGAACCGTTTTGTTAATTCTAGAGATGATGCTTTTAACTGGACATTTTGAGTATTTTTTGTGGTAAGGAATTCTTTCACCTATACCTATAGTAGATTCTTTATTGGAAGCTCTGTTGTAATCGAAGAATGCTTTGCTTATTTGGATCTGATATCAAATCTTTTGTTTCCTTCCATTACTGAATATTTCATGTGATTCATATTCTGTAAAAATAAACATATAAGAATAATGAGACAAATATCAGAGTCCCAGACAAATCGAATCAAAACATTCGATTCGATTTTGAATTTGGTTTTTACGAACAAACTATTTTTTGTTTTTTGTTGTTTGTTTTTGCTATAATGCTTGTTCGAAAGCTCTCGTCATATAAATAACATGTTCTGCTCAAGTGCTCTAATTTGAGGGAGTATATTTTAAACAAACGTTTAAAAGCAAAAGAGAAGCAAGCTTTTATTTGCATCGGATTGGGTCGAATCGAACCGATTTAGGATTCCAAAGATCAGGCTTTATTGATTCGTTTTGGGTTCTGACAAATATCTCTTGATTAACTTTGAATGTATGCTTTTCATTAATGCTGTACATAATCATTTCTGTTCTTTTTTTCTGTAGAAATCAATTGTAATTCCCGGTGACAATGATGTTGGAGGAGAATATTTTGGTGATAAAAAGCCGCATTTAAAAGAACGTTTTAAAAGTTATTTTGGTCGGACAATTGGACTTTATAAACAGAATGATATTGAGTTTTTGAAAGTATGACTTATACTTAATATTCCTACTTCTATTTCTCTCGCATTGTAACCAGTTAGATATTGATATGTATGAATCGTATTTCGATGGTAAACGACGCACGATCCTCGAACAAATGCAACATCATTCAATGACATCTAAATTTCGTATTATATTAAATCATTGGCCACTTGTTAGTCGTAGTGTCCGCTTCGTCAAACCTTTCATTGAAGAATTAGATCCAAATCTCATTCTTAAAGGTGATAGTCATCAAGTAAGGGTTATTTGTCATTCATTTGAATTCTACTTGAAAATATGATTGACTTTTTCTCTCAGTTTACTGTCTCTCAACATGATCGATCAACCAGTCATACCAAACGTTTTGTTCATGAAACGGTACCTAACAGAATTTTGTCGTTGAATTTGAGCGACAGAAAATTTGTCTACGAAATATCGATTCCTACATGTTCCTATCGTATGGGAGTTGATAAAATTGGTTATGGTGTTTTATTACTCGATGCGTGTAAGATACTTCTTTTTCAGTTCACAATCGCAATTATCACGGTTATATCGTGTTTTAGCTAATCATATGGCACATTTAACAATTTTATGGACACCGCAACGATATTTGGCATTATACACTTATGCAGCCTATGGTATATTTGTTGTGAGTGTTCTTTTATTGGCAACAATCAACACACGTCGGACTGTGTTGTCTGGTTTACACTAGTAAAGAAACTTAAATGAATTTGAACAATACGATAAAATTTATTTACATTCCGTTTTGCATACTCCTTCAGTTGTGAGGCTAAATCTCATCTTTTTCGATTTGTATAGTTTAGTTTATATAAAATAAAAAGTCTGTTTTGACAGAGCGTTAGGTTGTAACAGACACATTGTTCGAAAAGGCCTCAATTGATCATGAATGTAACGTATGTTGCTAGTCTATATATTCATGTAGGTATTGCGTTCGGTACGGACGGGCTGGGCCAGAAAGCTTTTAAGACCGGTTGAGCCGGGCCGGATTTGGGCCTCAATTTTTCTTTGTCGGACTGGACCGAGGACTGCTCTTTCTTTCCGAGAACATATGGTTAAATACATCAATAAAACGATTATATTTAGTATAAACATGTTCGTGATGAATATTGTAATATTTCTTTTTCTAATATGTAGCCAAATAAACAGATTATCTAGTGCATACAAAGATTGGAAAAAAATCATGAAAATTTAAATGACAGTTGTGTTAGAAGCACATTTATAGCAATTTCTCAACCAAGCCTATTAATGTTAAAGATGCAAGAGACTGTAAATAATTGAAAAAGGTGGAGCCGGACTCGGACCTCCACTTTTTTCCATGGATCGGACCCTAAAATTTTTAATACTGGACTGAACCAGAAATTTTCGACCGTACCGATCTCTGTTGTAGACTATTCCATCCATCCAGAACATTTGACGTGATCTGACTTGAGATGTGAAAGTAAAGACTAATGAACACTATCTTTACAAATAGGTAATAATTTGAAGAAAGATAAAAATGCAACAACAGCAGCATTGAGGAAAATCATTTTGTTTTCCAACGTTTTGATCTTTTGTTAGGTCATTTTAAACGAATTTTAACGAAAAGGTTTAAAAATATAGATAACGTGTGGGCCAGATCAAACAATGGGGTTTTTCCCGGCTTAAAAATTTCGTTCTGTTGTCAAAAGATAAAGAATTTTTCATTTTTTTTCATTTTTTCAATTTTTCAAATGATTTTCTACAAAATCATGTATGTCTAGTAGAAATTTGTACGGACAAGATTTTTTTGCCCGTGATCGTAGTCTTGTCCAAGGTGCTTGTCCGTGCCCGTCCGAGGATTTTTTTCGCTGCCCATGCTTGTCCCTACCCGTACAAAAAAAAACATTTTTTTTCTCTGTGATGTGACACAGACGTGGTGTTTTTTCTTCTGTAAAATCTCTGCCCGCCCAAGAAAGCAGTTATCCGTCCATGCACGTCTGTGTCTTTTACGATCATACCCGCGTCCACGGGAATTCCCGTGTTCGTGCAGATCTCTAATGTCCAGTAATGACGTACTAATTTTATGTCTAGAAAAATAGCGTTTAGTAACAGTAAGTAACAAGTAAAACTGCGATTCACAGTCAAAATTCTGGTGTCTTTTAGATTTCAAATAACTTTTTGATGCGGAACGTGAGGAAAGATGGTGTTAGAAAAACATTCGATGGCTTCAGACCCGTCATCTAGACATAGATTGTTTTCTCATATGATATGAGAATGTCTAGATGACGGATGATTTTTGCTGATTTTTTTCATGTTTTCTGTATAGATATGAGTCATACCTATACAGAAAACATAAAAGAAATCAGTCAACGCTTTTGGAAAACCTCCAATACTATCACTATCAGCTAAAAAGTGAATCTTGGATGTATCATATAAAAAATTTTGTAGAGGAGAAAGTTCTCTATTGCTTAAAGTCGAAATGAACTCTTGAAATCTTTCAGTATGCAGTAAAACTTTCTAAATATATAGCTGTATCGCTTTTGAATTATTTAATGTATGTAAGAAAATTGTATAAAAGCTTTTGTTTCTCAGAAAACAATTTACGACTATCTTTTAGCATAAAGTAAATAGAATTTAAAACTTGGTATATTGTGTTAAAATTAGTCGGATGTAGCAGATTCACAAATAAAATCTCTTCTTTGTATCGCAGTTTTACGTTTTACTCACTGTTAGTAAACGCTATTTTTCCAGACATAAGATTAGTGCGTCATTACTGGACATAAATGGTTTTGTAGAGGAGAAAATTCTCTCTCTTTTGGCAC